GTGGAAAGGGGGCTATCATTTTGCACATTTTGTTATTTAAGGAAGTTAAAGCACCTTTCTGGCTAAATAGCTTTCTAGTCACGTTTCCAGAAAGTTTTCAGAATGCTTCTTAATCAGTCCAAGGTACATGTTCTCACAGTCGTAATCCTTTGAGATGAAAATAATACCCAGTGAGGAAATCTTGATCGTGCGTTTGGAACTTACCTCCCAGAATGCTCAGATTTACTCAAGAATTCTGCCTTTCCTTCGGCCATTTTTTCTAAATGTTGGTATTTCCAGTTATATTCCAAAACAGCAATAATATCCGATGTTGTAAGAACTACTTTTGAGGGCCTATACACCCCTTTTGAGGGGGTGTATGTCCTACACTTTATTTTGGAACCATCTGCATCTTTGAAAGTTAAGCCACCACTTGAAAACCATGATATTTCTGATTTTTCAGACATTTGTTGCAAAGGAAAATGATTGAAGTAGCTGGACTTCTGGCTGTAAAATTCTTTATACATTCTGGGTGTTATTTACCGTGACATTATTAGCTTAATAAAAATAGCAAGTGTTCTTCTGAAAGTGCTTCTCCACAGCGCTGTGGCGGTTGACATAACTCCTGATTATCTTTTTTTTTTAAGATTTATTTATTTATGCATACAAGAACAGGGGTACAGAGGTGGGGGGGTGAGAGGATTCACCAGAGACAGAGTGGGGAGCAGCACAGGCAGATCTACTGAAGTACACTGGTGCGGGGAGCAGCTCCCTGGCCGGCTGGGAATCGAACCCTCACTGCAGAGGCTGCAGACAGCTTCACAGCGCTGCGCTCAACCCCCTGCGCCACCGGGGAGGCCAACTCCTGATCATCTTGCTGGTGAAGCTTGTTTATACCTTTCAGGAGAGAAGGAGACAGGGCTTCCCAGACATTGGTGTTGAGGTGCCATTTGAGAGAAAACTCTAGAAGCTCCATGTTTTCAGCCCCTGGTGTCGCGTCAGGGAAGATTTTTGCTGGTCACTGAACTTGAAGGAAGGTCCTGTGAGAATCCAGCCCCAGAGGCTGGGACGGGAGTGAGCCCAAGCGGGGTTTGCTGAGAGTTAGGGGACCCCCTTGTGTCTGTGTTACTCTTGCTTAAGCTGCACCCAACCCTTCCCCATGTTCATGGTGGAAAAGGTTGAAAGGTCGTTTTTATGAAATGATTTGGGATTCATGACCTGTAAGTGACGTGACACCGGACACGATTTGTATCCGTGGGGAGGAGCAGCGCATGAGCTGTGAGTGGGCCCTCAGGAGCTTGAGACCCACATTCTAGTTTGATCTGCAGCATGAACTTAACAGTGTGGCTTGATTGTGCCCCCTCGCGCCTCCACCCAGATACATGGAGTCCTGAGCCCAGGCCCGCCCACAGGCTTGCTGGGGCAGAAGCTCTTTGCAGATGGAGGCTCGCGGGCCAGGGCGGTCCCCATCGGGCGTGTCCCTTGCAGGCGCTGGCACACAGTGGGTGGCCGGCTGTGCGAGGCAGGCGTGGGTGCATGGGGAGGCGGCAGGGCGCCCCCGGATCTGCTAGGGGAGACACACGCAGGTCCCTGCTGGAGCTGCTGGAGCGGCCGGAGGAGCCGCCCCGACGCCGTGGTCAGAATCCTCAGCCTCCGGGGCTGCGGGAGAACAAGTCTCCCTTGTTCAGAGGCGCCGTGTTTGCAGTCGCTGTCGTGGCAGCCGCAGGAAGCGCAAACAGGAGGAGCGGCCCCGAGGTGGTGATGTCCTTGCAGCGCCAACCTCCCTGTCTCCCCACCCAGCCTCCTCGGCCTTTGCTGCTCCCGCCTTAGGACGCCCCGCTCGCCGCCCCGGCCTGTGCGCCCCCCCACCCGGGAAGCCTGCTTGTCCTCTGCTGGCCGGGGGTGACCGCTCTCTGGAAAGCAGGCGCAGAGCTCCACGTCCTCTTCCCAGGCATCTTCTTGTACCCGCCTCGCTGAAGTGCCCCCCTTGGGGACGGCTGTGCTACCAGATGGCAGAAGGGGCAGCCCCTCAGCCGCTGCCTCGGGCGAGGGTGGGTCGGGTGAGGGACTTGCTGGTGAGCTCTGGGCCAGACACCAAGAGGCTGGCGCAGAAGCAGCGGGGGATCGCGCCGCTCGGCAGACCTCAGCCCGGCCCCACTGCAGAACAGCCCCCCCGGTGCATGCCCCGGCCTGGAGGAGCCTTGCTTCCCGGGGGCTGGAGGGCGCCTGGGGGTAGCCGAGCAGAAGGCGCCCTGGGGACAGTGCCCGTTCAACCCAGGTCTGCTGTTGCTGCTCCGGGCGTCTGGCAAATGTCTGTCCGTCTGCGTTTTGAATGGAATTGATCTCCTAAGCAGAGAAATGATCATTCCAAAGCCAACACGGCTGTTGCTCGCGGCAGGCCATTTGGGCCAAGGGGGTGGGGGGGGGATGTTTTCAGAAACGCATTTGGAGAGCGGCCGTGCTCATGAAGCGGGCCTGGTGTGGGTCACTGGGACATAGAATGAGTTTTTCATGCAGACAGCAAATGTGTCCGGGGGGCATCCCAGGCCCAGAATCGTCCCCAGCCCCATGTGGAACCCGGGTACCCACACGCCACTCTTAGGACTTGCACCCCCACATTCTTCGATGTGCCAAATCCATATTTGAAGTTGGTTTGGAAAGCAGGCTGGGAAAAGCTGGAGTCCTCTGGCTGGGGTTAATAAGAAGGGAAGAATGCACCCCAAAACCCACCCCCCCAAAACCCACCGCCCCTGCGGAACTTGAAACCATACCCCTTTCTTCCCCGCTTCAGCCACCCTGGAATGCTGCCCCGGTGCCCCTCCCTGAGGTCCTGAAGTGAGGCCACTGCGGTCCAAAACTCGACTTGACGCGACTTATTAACTGACCTTTACACGGTGATTGTATCATCCGGATGTTCCTCTGCAGCTCTGCGTGGAGCACCCGGCGCCTTCCCAGCGCCTTCCCTGCGCCTCCCTGCGCCTCCCTGCAAGCCTCAGGACTTGGCAGAGTGCAAATTCAATGACATAGCGCTACGCTTCACTGTTGGCCAAATTCAAGCCGTAGGAAGGGGAGGATCATTTCAAAGCAAGGCTGAAGGTTTTGCATCTGCTGGAAAATACGCAGCTGTGAAATGAAAGGTTCTCTTTTCTAATTGATTGTCAGCTTGAGTTCCTGGGAATGTTTATTGAACATTTCTCATAGGAAGAGAGAGTGTTGCATGAATATCTGCATCTAGAAATAACAGTAACTTTATAATACTTCACGAGCTTACTCTGACCACGGGCAGGGCAGCTGTGGGGGCCCCCACCCCGCCCGCCGTGCCGGGGCCCAGGGTTCCTAGAGCCACAGAGTCCCGTGAAGGGACCACGCTCTTCCTGAGCGCCGCCTTCCTTCGGGGTGGAGCACTCTGTGGCCGAGCTCGCCCGCCCCGTCCCGGGCCCCTGGTCTCCTGGCCGGTCCCGCCGGATCCCCCCTCTCTAGCCTCCGTCTGCTTCTCTCCTAGCAAAAGTGGCTGTTTCGTTGCCCACTGAACACTCCCTTTTCCATTCCAAGCCTTCCTCTAAGCAGTTTTATATTGAATTTTTTTATTAAAGTGATATTCATAAAATGGAAATTAAAAGGGAGAATTCAGGGAATTTTGGACATTCACCAGGTCTTGCAGCTGCTACCTCGGTCTAGTTCCAGGACGGTTACCATCCCCCCCAGAGGAAACGGAGCCTGTTCAGTGGCTACTTCCATTCGCCCCGCAGGCCCCCGTAACCACCAATCTGGCTCTACGGGTGAACTTATTCCAGATACTTGATATAAGTGCAATCATACAATATGGGGTCTTTTGTGCCAGCTTTGTTCACTTAGCATGTATTTGAAGCTCCTCTGTGCTGTAGCCGATATCAGCAATTCATTCTTTTCTTGGCTGCATAGTGTTCCCCCACCTGGATCAATTTCATGCCGCTTACGCATTCATCCACATCCATGGGGGGACATGGGTGTTGCTGCCAACGGTTGGCAACTGTGAACAGTGCTGTTGTGAGGATGTACTCACATTTGTCTGGGTACCTGGTTTCAGTCCTTTAGGGTATCTACTTGGGAATGGGTTGCTGGGTCACGTGGTCATTCTACAGCGAGCTTTCGGAGAGTCTGCCAAACGTTTTCATAGCAGCTGCACCATCTCCACGCTGTCTCCTTTTGTTTGGTACATGCATGTCCGTGCCCTTGGCCTCTACTTTCACGAACTCCCCAGGAGACACCTGCCCCCCACCCCCCACCCGGGTGTCCCGACAGAGCTTGCGATCTAGCTCACAGAATCCAGATGTGCCTTCTCAAGACCGGGACCAGCTTCGCCCCACACGCAGGTGCTCAGATTAACCCATGTCACAGTGGTTTGGATACCCAGCCTGGAAACCCCCGAATTTGGGAAAAGAACTATTTCCCTCCATCACGACTGTTAGTCCTTTATTGTAAACCAGTAGATTTTTCCAGTACGTTGTCTTGCTTTGTCATCATATGCTTTCTTTTTTTATGAAGATTTATTTATTTATGCATACAAGAACTGGGGTGCAGGCCAGAGGTGTGGGGGGTGAGAGGATTCCCCAGAGACAGAGCAGGGTGCAGAATAGGCAGATCTACTGAAATCCACTGCTGAGGAGAGCAGCAGGAGACAGGAGAGGTCTGCTGCACCCTGTGGGTAGCTCCCTGGGCGGGGATCGAACGCGCTGCAGTGGCTGCAGATAGCCTCATAGGTTGCGTCTTAACCCCTTGCACCACCAGGGAGGCCCTTCATATTATTCTTAAAAGGGCATGGTCTTTAGATGGGGAGGAGGGGATACAGGGGAGGGTCCCCCTGGACTGGGGGAATCACAGGACTTGCTGGTGGGTGTGGCCTCGTAACCCCAAGGGGTATTGTCACCAGGGCTACCTCAATATAACAAATCCCCCAACGGCATGGCTCTAAGCAGCCGCTCATGGAAGGAAGGGCAGTGGCTGTGCCTGGGGATTCGTGACCCTGTTCCTCTCTGCCCTAGGTGTCCTTCTTCCTGTTCATCATCTTCGTGGTGTACACCATGCTGCCCTTCAACATGCGAGACGCCATCATCGCCAGCGTGCTCACCTCCGCCTCCCACACCATCGTGCTCAGCGTCTGCCTGTCCGCCAAGGCCGAGGAGCACCTGATCTGGCAGGTGGGTGCTGCGCTCTGCCTCGCCGGTGGCCGTCGCGCCCGCCAGGCCACCTGGCCCTGGCTCAGGTGTGGCTCCCACGGGGGCCGGGCCGCCGGCTGCGGTCACCCCCTGGGGCCACCCAGCAGCAATTAGCAAGAGTGGGGGCTGGACATGGCTCTTCCTTTTGCTGACTGCTGAGTGGGGCTGTGATGTTGATGGTTAAAAGCTGTTCTTATCATGCATTATCCTCTCGCCAGTCTTGTTTCTAGAGTGAAATAACCTGCAATCAAATCCGTCCGTCTCCCCCACCTCTCTGTCTGCCTTGATATCCAGACCCCGCCATCCCCTCTGTCTTAGCAGAGGACAAAAGATTTCTCCATTTGTTAATTTTCTGCCACAGGCATTAAAGTTGAGGGGAAAAAAAATCTTTAAAATGCTATGACAGCAAATTTAGCTTTACTAATACATGGCATTTCCGAGAACCCATGCTATTTAATTAGTTAAAAGCATTTAAAAAGCTATTTGATCCCCTGTTGTGTACACCCAGGGCCCCTCGTTTGGAGTTATTCCTAACGGGCTCCTTTCGTGGGCAGCTCTGTGCTCTCGGGCTGGATGGAGCCGGTGCGGGCTGGCGGGGCCGGCGGGGCAGACGAGCCGCTGACAGTCCTGTCCTGGAAAAGTGCGTTTTGGACGTAGCTTCCCTGAGCGCTGTGGGGTCTGGAGGCCAGTGTAGTGCGTCTGGCTCAGGATGGAGAGTTTTATTCAGAAGCCAGAGATGGCCCTGCAGGCTAACCCTGGGGGCTGCAGTCTCTCCGTTTGGGGGTTCCCAGGTGTCACTGGCCGCACCCCTTCACTAAGAGTGGCCCGAGGCCTGCGCTAGTCAGACAACCTTGGCGGGCACCGGGGAGCACGCAACTGGGCTCCCTGCTCCCGCACAGCGGGCGCCCCTTTGCCATGGCCCGTGTGGACGTGACTGGGCAGCGTCTGCACCAGGGAGCTGGGAAGGCCACTGTCCCCGTGAGCAGGCAGGTGGACTCAGCCCAGTGAGCTGCATGGCCGCCTGCCAGTCACGGTCCTGTGCCTGGGAAGGCGGGTGTTGGTGGAAAGAAGCAGCGAGCCAGGGGGCGGGGGGTGGGTGGGGGGAAGTGCTCCTTTGTCAGAGCTCTGGCCCAGCCTTAGCTTCGTTTTCCTGCATTTCAGACCCTGCCCCCCAGGATAATTATGGGACCATTTTTCCTCAAACTCAACCCCTGGTCACATGCGGGGCGGGTGGTGGGTGCGTCTTTGCAGAAGGGATGGCACAAAATCCGCTCTGCCAGTTTACAGCACGCAAATCACTGCCGGAGGGTCTCAGCACAGGGCAGCGGGCACTTGAATATATTCCACGGCGGGACTTGGGGTACCCCGAGACCTCCCTCCCTTGATGCTTCCACTCTCTCCTGCCCCTTCATGAAGAAATAAAGCTCCTGCTGGTGCAGATGTGACAGAGAAAACATCTGGGAGACGAGGACCAGACCACGTGTCTGGAAGACCCCCGCGGGGTCCGATGAAGGGAAGGGGTGCTTTGAGGAGAGCAGCGTGCCCAGGCCCTCGAGTACTGTGTGGAGTTGCTTTTTGCAAAAAAACTAACAAAAACAGCATTTCTTGCATTGATTAAAAAGATGGAATGAATGTCATCTTAAATATTTATTTACTCCATTTTCAAAAGCAACAAAGAAAAATATTTCTCCTCAGTGGCCGCCAGAGACGGGCCTCTGGCACAGCAGAGAGCGCCAGCAGTCCTCGTCCGTAGCGTTGCACATAAAAATGGCGCTGAAGGAACAGAAGCCCCCAAGGTCAGTCCTCGCCCCTCAGGGACGATGTCACGTGATTGCCAGAATGGGGCCGGGCGGGCGGCGCCACGAGAGTTAAGGTGGGAGAGTCACAGGTAAATGGCAAGGTGAACGCTGGAAATAAAATCTAAAATTCACACGTTTGTGAGGCAAGAAAATACTTTTTTATGAAAAATGTGTGTGTCAGCATGTGATGGATGAGCCGGTTGTTTTTCTGGGATAGAACTGTTTAGGCAAAAGTATTTAAAATACAGGGTATTGGTCTGAGAGAAAGAGGTCACCCATCCGGGAGCAGCTAGTCTCTTTATCAAAATAGTGACTTGATGGGAAACCATGGTTCCCCTCCGGTGGTCAGCAGCAGTTCATTCTTCCCAGGAAATTCTTTTTTTCTTACTTTTTTTTTTTTTAATAGAGGCATGCTTTTATTTTATTTTATTTATTTGTTTGTTTGTTTTGTTTATACATGCACTGGGTACAGTCAGAAGCACATGGGAGGGTGAGAGAATTCACCAGAGCCAGAGCGGGGAGCAGAGCAGGCAGAAGGACCGAAGTACACTGCTGAGGGGAGCAGCAGGCAGCAGGAGAGGTCTGCGCGCCATGTGGGACCCTCCTCCGGTGGCCGGGGAGCAGCTGGGGATTGAACCGGCACTGCAGAGGCTGCGGGCAGCTTCGCAACCCAGCGCTCAACCGCTGCGCCACGGGGGAGGCCCTCTTACTTTATTTTTTAAGATTTATTTATGCACACAAGAGCTGGGGTACAGGCCAGAGGTGTGTGTGGGGGTGTGAGAGGATCCACCAGAGACAGAGCGGGGAGCAGAACAGGCAGACTGACTGAAACACACTGCTGAGGGGAGCAGCAGGGAGACAGGAGAGGTCTACTGCGCCTTGTGGGTTGCTCCCTGGCAGGCTGGGGATCGAACTCGTGCTGCAGAGGCTGAGGATTGCTTATTGTGCGGTGCTTAACCCCTTGCGCCACCAGGGAGGCCCTTCCCAGGAAATTCTTTTCACTAGCATTGCTCCTGAAATAGCCCCCATTCTCAGGCTGGACAGAGCTCCGTCTTAAGGAAATTTGGGTAACACCTAAAATGGCTGGATGGCATTTCTACCTCATTCATACATGAATTTAATCCGTAGTACATTTTTGCTTTTATTTTGAACACTCTCAGGCCTCCCAATAAGTTGCTAGCCCAGTACAGAGATTTTTTTTCTCCGACATCACTGACAAGTGAGCCGTCACCTGCTGTCCTGTTGTCCCCGTGACGCCTTGTCGCTCGCCTGGGTGTTTCCTGCAATGCCATTGTCCTGCGTCTCTGTAAAGCAACAAGTAAAATCAGGAGATTCGGTAGCTCGATTACTGCCATTTGGGTTTCTCCAGCTTTCCCAGTAAGGTCCTTGATAGCATAGCAAGGGGACCCGCACGTCTGGGTTCAGGGGTGGCACTACACATCCCTCTCGCGAGACCAGGGAGCTGACGGGAGGCTTGGGCCAGACTGGGTGCAGCCCCCGGCCCGCGCTGCCTGTGTGACACTTGCTCCGTCTTAAATAAACAATTTGTGCTCCATTCTCTGCGCGTCTCTAAGTTGGCATCACTGTCAGCCGAATCCTGAGCCATCCTTGAGGAAAGTGCTAGCATCCCTGTATCGCGCTGTATCTGAAACGTTCTTACTTTCCTCACATTTTCATTTCCTTGATATTCGCACCATGCGCTGCACTTTCATTTCATTTTTCTTTTATTTTCCCAGAGAGGCGGGAGGAATTTGAATCCAAGCCAGTTATACAAGAACCTGTATTTATTAAAATTTAAAGTGAAGGGGGTGCTTACTGACTTTCTAAGGGGATTGTTCATTTTTCAGAGATATATATTGCAGGATTCTTTTACACAGTAGATGCTTTAACATATTGAAGTTGTGATGCAATTTGAACACTATCAGGCCGACCTGAAATAGAAGCTCCCGCCCTGGTCTGTGGCAAGCGTGTCGTAAGTGTTGATGCAGATTTGTTACGTAACTGATAGTTTTTAAGTATTTTTCAGAAACTGGGGATTGGAGTCTGGGATGAAATTGCATTTAGGCTCTAATCTGAGAATCTCAAAGGAAAAGCAGCAGGTTCCCAGCTGCCCGGCTCCTGTCTGTGGGAGAGACTAATTGTTAGGAATTTAGATCTCTGTTCCCACTGAATTGTCTCCAGAGAAGCGCGGAATATTAATAATTTCTACAAGGGGGAAGGAAGAAGGCTTGCCGCTGCTCGTTTGTGAGCATTCAGCCACTGATGGAGCATAATATTCCGTGCCCTCACCTAGCAAGCTGCTGTCTCTCTGTCCTGCAGGCCTTGCACTCGAAGGCTTTGCGGGTGAGGAGGGAGAAGCCTAGAGTTCGAGTGTGACTCAACCCTAATGCGAATCTGATTGGACTTCACCGTCCTGCCGTCCTCTCCCCTTCATGCTCGCCCGCTTCTCCTGAAGTGGCAGGAGCTTTGCATCACCACCCTGAGCCCCAGCGTTGGTAGGGAAGTGAACAGCTAGTGCTTGCCTGCAGGACGTCAAATCACCATGAAACTGCTCTGGCACTTTCTGGAAGGAAACTGCAGGAAAGTTTGAGAGGTACAGCTTCCACGCTGGCAGTTAGCTGCTTGCTGTCATGGTGGAGTGCAGACTCCCGGCTGTCCTGCCGACAGCTTGAGGGTGTTCTGGGGAGGGACTAGCAGAGCAGCGATAAGGACAAGCCCTGGCAGGCCAGGCAGCTCATCTTGGACACTGGATCCAAAGAAGAAAGGTTTCTTGAAAAATGATGACTGGTCCCCCCCAGCTGTCTCCAGCTTCTTTCTGATTCTGTCATCTGGACTCTATCCCCTCTGTTCGTTCCGCGCCGCGGGTCGTGTCCAGTAAGACTCAGCACTGCCCGTGGAGCTAGTGTGGGCTCAGCCTTATGACTCGGGGCCGGCAGCTCTGAGGGGCTGCCTCCCTTCCCACGCCAGGCAGCTCATTTCATGAAACAAGACCTGAGGCTTTGTCCATTCCAATGGATTATTTTTGAATAGTTTGCAACAATTGCTCATGGAACCATCAGTAACTGCTCTTTAAAATCTCTAGGACAGGATGAGAAAACCATCCCCCGGGGCTCGTCACACAGGACAGAACCTCTGTTCTTGCAGGATGAATCTGCTCAGTCGTGTGGGCCTGGGAGCATGTAC